TGGGTGTCCTGCTGGGCGTCCTGCTGGGTGTCCTGCTGGGCGTCCTGCTGGGTGTCCTGCTGGGTGTCCTGCTGGGCGTCCTGCTGGGTGTCCTGCTGGGCGTCCTGCTGGGCGTCCTGCTGGGTGTCCTGCTGGGTGTCCTGCTGGGCGTCCTGCTGGGTGTCCTGCTGGGTGTCCTGCTGGGCGTCCTGCTGGGTGTCCTGCTGGGTGTCCTGCTGGGCGTCCTGCTGGGTGTCCTGCTGGGTGTCCTGCTGGGCGTCCTGCTGGGTGTCCTGCTGGGCGTCCTGCTGGGTGTCCTGCTGGGCGTCCTGCTGGGCGTCCTGCTGGGTGTCCTGCTGGGTGTCCTGCTGGGTGTCCTACTGGGTGTCCTGCTGGGTGTCCTGCTGGGCGTCCTGCTGGGTGTCCTGCTGGGTGTCCTGCTGGGCGTCCTGCTGGGCGTCCTGCTGGGCGTCCTGCTGGGCGTCCTGCTGGGTGTCCTGCTGGGCGTCCTGCTGGGCGTCCTGCTGGGCGTCCTGCTGGGTGTCCTGCTGGGCGTCCTGCTGGGCGTCCTGCTGGGCGTCCTGCTGGGTGTCCTGCTGGGCGTCCTGCTGGGCGTCCTGCTGGGCGTCCTGCTGGGCGTCCTGCTGGGCGTCCTGCTGGGCGTCCTGCTGGGCGTCCTGCTGGGTGTCCTGCTGGGCGTCCTGCTGGGCGTCCTGCTGGGTGTCCTGCTGAGAGCCCAAGGCCTTGGGCTTCAAATTTTTGTTGTATTTGATGATCGATGTTTGCTGTGATTATCCCAGTGTTTATTTTGTAACTCCCGTGAGTGTTTACCTGCGTCGTGTCTTGTGAGGGCAGAAGAGGCGTGGGCGAGCATGGGAGAGTGTGGGAGAGTGTGAGAGAGCGTGGGAGAGTGTGGGAGAGTGTGGGAGAGTGTGGGAGAGTGTGGGAGAGTGTGAGGGAGTGTGGGAGAGTGTGGGCGAGCATGGGAGAGTGTGGGAAAGCGTGGGAGAGCGTGGGAGAGTGTGGGAGAGCGTGGGAGAGTGTGGGAGAGTGTGAGAGAGTGTGGGAAAGCATGGGAGAGTGTGGGAGAGTGTGAGAGAGTGTGGGAGAGTGTGGGAGAGCGTGGGAGAGCGTGGGAGAGAATATCCGTACTGCAGCGGCTGACAGATGTTTGCCTTGCCAACTCTTGTTTATGTTCTCTGTTTGTTTTTATTCCCACTGATTCCTGAATGTTTATACGTTCCCTGGTATTGCTGTGTTGATGCTTGTGTTTGTTGATGCTTGTTTGTGTGTGAAGCTTATACTTGTGTTTGATGATTGTGTTTGTATTGATGCTTGTGTTTGTTGTATTGCATGTGTGTGTGTTTTTACTCACCTATTCGTGTTTGCGGGGGTTGAACTCTGGCTCTTTGGTCCCGCCTCTCAACTGTCAATCAACTGGTGTACAGGTTCCTGAGCCTATTGGGCTCTATCATATCTACACTTGAAACTGTGTATGGAGTCAGCCTCCACCACATCACTGCCTAATGCATTCCATTTGTTAACTACTCTGACACTGAAAAAAGTTCTTTCTAACGTCTCTGTGGCTCATTTGGGTACTCAGTTTCCACCTGTGTCCCCTTGTTCGGGTACCTCCCGTGTTAAACAGTATCTTTATCTACCTTGCCAATTCCTCTGAGAATTTTGTAGGTAGTGATCATGTCTTCCCTTACTCTTCAGCTTTCCAGTGTCGTGAGGTGCATTTCACGCAGTCTTTCCTCGTAACTCATGCCTCTTAGTTCTGGGACTAGTCTACTGACATACCTCTGAACTTTTTTCAGCTTCGTCTTGTGCTTGACAAGATACGGGTTCCATGTTGGCGCCGCATACTCCAGGATTGGTCTTACATATGTGGTATACAAGGTTCTGAATGATTCCTTACACAGGTTCCTGAAGCCAGTTCTGATGTTAGTCAGCCTCGCATACGCCGCAGATGTTATTCTCTTGATGTGGGCTTCAGGAGACAGGTTTGGTGTGATATAAACTCCTAGACATTTCCTTCTGTCCGTTTCGTGAAGGACTTCGTCTCCCATTCTGTATCCTGTGTCTGTTCTGTCCTCCTGTTTCCACTGCCTAGTTTCATTACCTTACATTTACTCGGGTTGAACTTTAGCAGCCATTTGTTGGACCATTCATTCAGTTTGTCTAGGTCATTTTGTAGCCTCATACTGTGTTCTTCTGTCTTAATCCTCCTCCTGTGTGTGTGTGTGTGTGTGTGTGTGTGTGTGTGTGTGTGTGTGTGTGTGTGTGTGTGTGTGTGTGTGTGTGTGTGTGTGTGTGTGTGTGTGAGTGCGCGCACGTGCATGCTGTAACGTACAATGATGTGTAGTGGGACTGGAGAAGTGTAGTAGAGCAGGAGGCTGCAGATGTAGCCTCGTAACGATGGCCGTAGAAAACACAATTACGATGATTAAGAGTGACAGCGGAGACAGGGCCGCCAATACCATAACTACTAGGAAGGGAGGGGGATGAGGGGGGAGGGGGGAGGATAAATGCAGCTCTGCCTTAAAAATAAATATAGAACTGGGTCGTAACCGTCAGTGTGAAGGTGGTCGGGTAGTAAAGCCACTGACCTCCACACAGTCAACATGAAGAAAAAATCAGAGTTAGGAGTGTACAAGAAGCAGTCAAAGAAGCAGTGTGTGTCGTGGCAGCCAGGTATAACTACGGTTGCATTATGCACATATAACATGGCCGGGTCGTTAATCATGACCCCAACCACCAGCTGAATCACATCTTAAGTAAGGAAATTAGAGAAGTTTTTATTATTTTTTTGTGCGGGAGTCAACATGGTGAGGCTAACTGGTCCCCCGCGCGCTCTACTGGCGGTGGTGGCCGCCTCGCTAGGCTCTCTCCTCTCAGCTTACACATGAAAATATAAACACATTCATTGTAATGAATTATATTTAGAGTATCAGCTGTGAACTCTGTCGTCCCTGAACGTTTAGAGTTCAGTTATCGAGGTCGGGACTAGGAGCCAAGGGCGGCAGGGCACAAGGGATTCCAAACCTCTACATCACTCGGTAACTACTGCACGTCAAGCCCACGACGGTTGCATATGCAATTGGTCCCATTTGGCTGCATTGTTGCATTATGATATATGGATGATAATCGCGGCCAGGAGGTGAGCGGGGTGGGGAGGCCTTCGGAAGTTTCTATGACTGCGGCGTGTTTTTACCGGCGGGCGGCCACTGTTTAGGGCGTCGGTGGGTCGGGCGGGCAGCCCACCCCGACCCACCTGACTCCTGCCCGCGCTCTCTCCAGGTTTTTGCCTTGTCGCTGTTGTTGTTAATGCAATGTGAAGAGCGAGCCAATGGCCCGGACACCGTGTTGCGGGAGGTGATTCGCCTGGCCGGCATTACCTTCCTCAACACGCCTTCATCTTTCTTACAGCTAGCTTTTTGTTATAGCAGCGCCTGCCACACCAGTCCATGGGACTATGTGCTGTGTGGATACTTCCACAGCTGCTCTCTTATTTGGATATTGGATAAAGATCGTTCTACCCTAACCTAACCTATCCTACCCTATTCAATCCTATCCTATCCTTTTGTATTCAATCCTATCCTATTCAATCATATCCTATCCTATCCTACCCTATTCTATCCTATCCTACCCTATTCTATCCTATCCTACCCTATTCAATCCTATCCTATCCTTTTGTATTCAATCCTATCCTATTCAATCATATCCTATCCTATCCTACCCTATTCTATCCTATCCTACCCTATTCTATCCTATCCTACCCTATTCTATCCTATCCTACCAAACCCTATCCTATCCTATCCTGTTTTATTGTAACCCTCCCCACCCTATCCTATCGTACCCTATCCTATCCTGTCATATCGTATTTTAATCCATACATTTAGCCGGTAGAAAGTGTGTATGCTGATGAATGGTGTGAGCTACAGATGAGCCTAACATAATTAGTCTACTCTATCTCAGCTTACCCAACCTTAAACAGGTCTAACCTAACCTATCCACATTAGCCTTGAGAGAATACGCATAAACATGTTGGCAAATATGGCGTCAGCTGGTACCGTGGCTGAATGTGTACACATTATATGATATTCTCTGAGCTTCCTGTATACCTAACATGCAGTTATATGCCGCCACTTCTGCCAGACACAAACACTCAGAAAGAATACATTTAGTAAAGAAAGGGCAACATGGATTTAGAAGAGGTAATGTCGCATACCTCGGCCTACATGACCGTGTGGCTACTGAAGCACCTGAGGAAAGAGGTGTGTAATTCCTAGGCTGCCGGAAAGCATCTGACACTGTTCCTCGCGGAGGGCTGACGTACGAGATGGATAAGCAAGCGAGGGTAGCTGGAAAGACACAGAACTGGGTAAGTGCCTAAAGGGAATATCTAAAGGACATAAAACAAATAGTTTCATTCAAAAGTTTCGAGGTGAAGGAATGTAACAAGTGCCTTAACATTATGTTCTGAGTCAGTACTGATCTTAACTTGTGTGAATGACCTTACGGGTGGAGTGAACTCGTACATGTTAATGTTTGCAGATGATGCAAAGCTCATGAGGAAAGTTAAAATCCTAAGAGAACTGCAGAAAGTTACAAGAAGACCCTGACAAACATGACGAATGGCTCACAAATGGTTGCTAGAATTCAGTCCCAATAGGAGGCCTGGTCGACGACCGGGCCGCGGGGACGCTAAGCCCCGGAAGCACCTCAAGGTAGGTAACCAACACTTGTAAGGTGATGAAGATGGAAAGAGGGAGAAAGGACACGAGGAGGTATCTACACCATAATGGAAAGACAACTACAGAAATCGTGGAAGTTGACATAATTCCCACACTAACACAGGAGGCCCATATGAACAGGGTAACATCGCCAGCACATGGCACGCTGGCGTATATAAGTACTGTACATCTTTTTGAATCCTAAATCAGGACTCCTTCAAGGCAATCATCTACTAAGCTTTTGTTAGACCAATACTGGAATATGCACCACCGGACTGGAATATGCACCACCGGACTGGAATATGTACCACCGGACTGGAATATGCACCACCGGGCTGGAATATGCACCACCGGACTGGAATATGCACCACCGGACTGGAATATGTACCACCGGACTGGAATATGCACCACCGGACTGGAATATGCACCACCGGGCTGGAATATGCACCACCGGACTGGAATATGTACCACCGGACTGGAATATGCACCACCGGACTGGAATATGCACCACCGGACTGGAATATGTACCACCGGACTGGAATATGCACCACCGGACTGGAATATGCACCACCGGACTGGAATATGCACCACCGGGCTGGAATATGCACCACCGGACTGGAATATGCACCACCGGACTGGAATATGCACCACCGGACTGGAATATGCACCACCGGGCTGGAATATGCACCACCGGACTGGAATATGTACCACCGGACTGGAATATGCACCACCGGACTGGAATATGCACCACCGGACTGGAATATGCACCACCGGACTGGAATATGCACCACCGGACTGGAATATGCACCACCGGACTGGAATATGCACCACCGGACTGGAATATGCACCACCGGACTGGAATATGCACCACCGGACTGGAATATGCACCACCGGACTGGAATATGCACCACCGGACTGGAATATGCACCACCGGACTGGAATATGCACCACCGGACTGGAATGTGTACCACCGGACTGGAATATGTACCACCGGACTGGAATATGCACCACCGGACTGGAATATGCACCACCGGACTGGAATATGCACCACCGGACTGGAATATGCACCACCGGACTGGAATATGTACCACCGGACTGGAATATGCACCACCGGACTGGAATATGCACCACCGGACTGGAATATGCACCACCGGACTGGAATATGCACCACCGGACTGGAATCAACACCTTGTGAAGCATAAAATCAAAATTTAAAAAGTAGAAAAAACTGGCAAAAGACTGGAGGCAGAGGCAAGAGGAGTAAGATTGGGTTAAGGACGGTATAAGGGAGCTGGACCTCACAGTACCGGAGAAGAGAAGGCAGGAGGGGAAATAGATAATGTGGACAAGGATACCATCTTCAAATTGACAGAAAGTGGGACAATATGGTACAGGTGGGAGCTGGAAACGTAAATGAGTCGATGAAATGTAAGGAAATAGTGGAACCCACCACCAGCACCACCACCATAATCTGCACCAAACTCTGTGAGGAAGCATTGCGCGCGTTGATGTTCCTGATAATGAAAGAACATAACGTTCACTAAAGGGAGTATCAAATTATCCCCTGTACTTAAGCAAGATTATATATCGCTCTGGAAAATAAGTAAAAAGCACTATCGCTTTGAGTGGTAAGCGGCTTCCCTCTCCAACCACGTCGCTGCGGCCCACCGGCTCCGCCCTCCAAATAAAATGTATTTGCTAATCAGCTTTTGGGAAAATGCTGCATATTCGTACCAGCGTAGAGAGGACCCACGGAGTGCTGAGGGTTACCCACTCCTGCTGGGGAGCCGTCCTTGCCACCATAATATTCTCAGCATGTGGAAATTAGGATTCAGCTCTGGGGTCCCGACTCACGACTTTCATTTAACTGGGGAGTATACACACACACACACACACACACACACACACACACACACACCATCTCTCTCCACTCTCACCTCATCATTCCGTCGGCTCTCATACACCCCCTTTTCCCACTTCCTAACCCCTATCTTCCTCCACATTCCCCCCCCCCCTACTCTCCCCCTGATCCCCCCCCCCTACTCTCCCCCTGATCCCCCCCCCCCGTCACCTCCCCCCCCTCCTATGCTCAACATCCAACAAATAAAAAAGCAGTTCTGTGTTTCTGTTTAATCTGCGCCTGGTAGCCCTATACTCCCCTACTGGCTGGTAGGAGGGGGGGGGGAGGGGGCTAGGGCACGGGAGGGACCTGGTGACAGTTGGAGGGACCTGGTGACACATGGAGGGACCAAGTGACACATGGAGGGACCAAGTGACACATGGAGGGACCAAGTGACACATGGAGGGACCAAGTGACACATGGAGGGACCAAGTGACACATGGAGGGACCAAGTGACACATGGAGGGACCAAGTTATACATGGAGGGACCTGGTGACACATGGAGGGACCTGGTGACACATAGAGGGACCTGGTGACACATAGAGGGACCTGGTGACACATAGAGGGACCTGGTGACAAATGGAGGGACCAAGTGACACATGGAGGGACCAAGTTATACATGGAGGGACCTGGTGACACATGGAGGGACCAAGTGACACATGGAGGGACCAAGTGACACATGGAGGGACCAAGTTATACATGGAGGGACCTGGTGACACATAGAGGGACCTGGTGACACATAGAGGGATCAGGTGACACAAGGAATAACCAAGTGACACATTAAGGGACCTGGTCACACGTAGAGGGACCAGATGACAGTTGGAGGGACCAGGTGACAGTTGGAGGAACCTGGTGACAGTTGGAGGGACCTGGTGATAGTTGGAGGGACCTGGTGACAGTTGGAGGAACCTGGTGACAGTGGGAGGGACCTGATGACAGTTGGAGGGACCAGGTGACAGTTGGAGGAACCTGGTGACAGTTGGAGGGACCTGGTGACAGTTGGAGGGACCTGGTGACAGTTGGAGGAACCTGGTGACAGTTGGAGGGACCTGATGACAGTTGGAGGGACCTGGTGATAGTTGGAGGGACCTGGTGACAGTTGGAGGGACCTGGTGACAGTTGGAGGGACCAGGTGACAGTTGGAGGAACCTGGTGACAGTTGGAGGGACCTGGTGACAGTTGGAGGGACCTGGTGACAGTTGGAGGAACCTGGTGACAGTTGGAGGAACCTGGTGACAGTTGGAGGGACCTGGTGACAGTTGGAGGGACCTGGTGACAGTTGGAGGGACCTGGTGATAGTTGGAGGGACCTGGTGACAATTGGAGGGACCTGATGACAGTTGGAGGGACCTGGTGATAGTTGGAGGGACCTGGTGACAGTTGGAGGGACCTGGTGACAGTTGGAGGGACCTGATGACAGTTGGAGGGACCTGGTGATAGTTGGAGGGACCTGGTGACAGTTGGAGGGACCTGGTGATAGTTGGAGGGACCTGGTGATAGTTGGAGGGACCTGGTGACAATTGGAGGGACCTGGTGACAGTTGGAGGGACCTGGTGACAATTGGAGGGACCTGATGACAGTTGGAGGGACCTGGTGACAATTGGAGGGACCTGATGACAGATGGAGGGACCTGGTGACAGTTGGAGGGACCTGGTGACAATTGGAGGGACCTGATGACAGTTGGAGGGACCTGGTGATAGTTGGAGGGACCTGGTGATAGTTGGATTGACCTGGTGACAGTTGGAGGGACCTGGTGATAGTTGGATTGACCTGGTGATAGTTGGAGGGACCTGGTGATAGTTGGAGGGACCTGGTGACAGTTGGAGGGACCTGGTGACAGTTGGAGGGACCAGTTGACAGAGGGAGGGACCTGGTGACAGTTGGAGGGACCTGGCGACAGTTGGAGGGACCTGGTGACAGTTGGAGGGACCTGGTGATAGTTGGAGGGACCTGGTGACAGTTGGAGGGACCTGGTGATAGTTGGAGGGACCTGGTGACAGTTGGAGGGACCTGGTGATAGTTGGAGGGACCTGGTGACAGTTGGAAGGACCTGGTGACAGTTGGAGGGACCTGGTGACAGTTGGAGGGACCTGGTGATAGTTGGAGGGACCTGGTGATAGTTGGAGGGACCTGGTGATAGTTGGAGGGACCTGGTGATAGTTGGAGGGACCTGGTGACAGTTGGAGGGACCTGGTGATAGTTGGAGGGACCTGGTGACAATTGGAGGGACCTGGTGGCAGCAGAGAGGTCTGGGTATGCAGGCACTTAGGGAAGTATGGGATGGGTGAGTACCCAGATTGGTGATTGGGTTGGGTAACGAAGGGGGGAAAGGGGGAGTCGCTGGTGATGAGGGTCGTTAGGTAAGTCATTGCCTCGTCCACCTGGGCAATTATCTCTAGTAATGAGTTTAGGGAGCCTCTGCCCCCTCTCATCCAAATTATCTGTATAGTTCCTAAGGCTTATGGGAGAGGCCATCTTTGTTGACGTAACTGAGTTATATCAGAGAGAGAGAGAGAGAGAGAGAGAGAGAGAGAGAGAGAGAGAGAGAGAGAGAGAGAGAGAGAGAGAGAGAGAGAGAGAGAGAGAGAGAGAGAGAGAGAGAGAGAGAGAGAGTGATTGGGGGGGGGGGTAACAATATACTACTCTTGGATTAATAATTTTGTAGATGAGTTAAGGAAGAAGGCATCATCCTAGCCTAAACGTATGCTAGGATAAACTTCCTAGGCCCAGGATAACATATAGATGTACTAAATCAGGCCTAATGTGGCGTATGTAAGACCTACAAATGCTTATTTAGGCCTCGGACAGGACATGTTGGGTTGTATTGTTACTCTTCAACTTTTTAACTTGACATTTTGAGTATTTTAACAATACAAAACGTGTGGTATTTTGTGTGGTCTGGTCAGTAATTGTTATGGTAGTAGCAACCCATCCTACACTATAATTTGTGTAGGATGAGTTGATTAATGTAGATGCATTGTCCTACCCAGCGGCCCCGTGACGCAGTCCTCTACTGTCACCCACCGGCCCCGTGACGCAGTCCTCTACTGTCACCCAGCGGCCCCGTGACGCAGTCCTCTACTGTCACCCAGCGGCCCCGTGACGCAGTCCTCTACTGTCACCCAGCGGCCCCGTGACGCAGTCCTCTACTGTCACCCAGCGGCCCCGTGACGCAGTCCTCTACTGTCACCCAGCGGCCCCGTGACGCAGTCCTCTAGTGTCACCCACCGGCCCCGTGACTCAGTCCTCTACTATCACCCAGCGGCCCCGTGACGCAGTCCTCTAGTGTCACCCACCGGCCCCATGACTCAGTCCTCTACTATCACCCAGCGGCCCCGTGACGCAGTCCTCTACTGTCACCCAGCGGCCCCGTGACGTTGCCGCTGCTCATATATTCCCCCTACACACCATCCAGCCTCACCATACTTACCAACCCCTACACCCGCCACCAATATTCCCCCCCTCACCATCTACACCTCCCTCATACCCATAAGGCCTCCCCGCCACCATTTACCTCCACAATGCAGGTAGAAAACGCTACCCAGGCCTGCCCTATATGCAGCTTGATCACCCCCTCCCCCTCATCTCCCCCCCCCCCACCTCACAGGAGCCTCACGAGGCCTGCCAATATATGCAGCTAGACCCCCTCCTCCCCCCACCCCTGCACGACGGGAGGCAAAACGTTAGAGTTGCAGATGAATGCCCGACTCATCCACAGTGAAAAATGGCTCCTTCTCTAGGTCTCAACCGGCAGCGAGGTCGTTATAGTATGCAAATTAATGGCCGCGAGGTTCGTTATGTTGTTGGTAACTGCGGACCTTTATACAAGCGCTCGTAACGCTGCATAATTATATATCGCAATATGTCTAACATAGCAATAATATACCTATATAAAATATATAACATTATTCATAAAATATACATAAGTATATATTGCAGTGGTATATATGTATGTATAGAGTTTACATATTAAATGACGTCACTAGTACGCAAAGCGTGACACAAAAGTATAGCATAATGTATTGCTGTGGAAATCGTAATATTAAAATGTTTTATAATAAAGCAGTATTATAACAAAGTAATAATATTGCTCTTTAATATGACGTTATTGTAGTTTAATAATATAGCATTATTTTAGGACAACTATATAACAATATTTTAGCGCAGTACATAGCACGATATTCTAACTTTAGAGAATAATTATATCACAAAAAGTATAATAACATAATTATAATTATATAACATTTGCAGCATAACAGTATAAATAATAAAGCTTAATAATGTAACTATTATAGTACAGTAATATAACTGTTGTA